CAAGGTAACCTTGACGAGAAGGAGGTTGTGCTCAGGCGACTTAAGGGGAAAAACACAAACATACATGTGGCGAAATGGTGCACCTTCCACCATGAAATAAAAAAAGAATTCAAGGGCCATCTCTTCGTCTTCGGCATTGGCGACGAAGACGTGGGAACCCTAAAGGCCAAATCAATAAGGACGAGCTATGCGTTCACCTCATTGACTATAAGGCCAAAGGTCAAAAAAGAGGCTGAAGCGGGGCCCAGTGAAGACTCCTTGGTAAAGGACCCTCTTCCCCCCAATTCAAGCCAACATTGGAGGACGTCGAATCAGAATAAATGACAATCGATGACCTTCAGCATGAAAACTACGAGGAGCCACAAGATATCATCCCCTTCCCACTTTCGGAGGAAGGGATGGTTGAATAAAAAAACCACTTTACTGTTCAATTTTTAACGGAAAACCGGAAAGCAATAAAAGTGGTAACTGTCATACAATGTAACTTGCAGAACAAAAGGGTGGCTACGGCAACATTATGCCGCTGCCTTGATAAGCTGCAAGATACAATAGCACTTATTCAAAATTTTAGGTCTTAATAATCTAAATGCTTCAATTTTAAGCTTCCCCAGCAACCAACAACCTAGAACAACCATTTACATTCCTACGAAATACAATGGCACACCTTTCCACCTCCGATTTAACTGCGGTTAAGATGGAATACGCCATCAAAAGTGAAAATAAAACGTTAATCCTAGCATCTGCATACCTACCTTTTGATGAACCACGCCACCACCCAGCAAAGAAATGAAGGATCTGATTGCATACTGCCTGGAACAGAAGTTTGAGCTAGTAATAGGTTGCGACTCAAACGCTCATCACTTCAGTTGGGGCAGTAAGGAAAACAACGCTAGAGGTAAGTCACTTTATGATTATATAATTACCAAAAATCTTTGTATTTTAAATAAAGGTACTACACCAACATTTTTAAACTTTCGCAGTCAAACACTAGATATCACTTTATCCACCACTGGTATCTATAAATCAATTCTAAACTGGCAAGTGTCTGATAACATTTCGATGTCAAACCACCGCTGGTTAACATTCAAAATAAACTTGATGTTGCCGACCTCCACGCTATCTCGGAACCCTAGGAAGACTGACAGGACAATATATGCCCACCTTCTCCAAAAGGCTCTGAGAGAGATGGAGGCCGAAACACCAAACAATAACAATGCTTTGGAGAAGTACTCGAACACTATCCAAAGCACAATAAACAATGCCTATAAGAAACGTTGTCCCCTGAGGCTGGTCCAACACGATCAGACGACTACTGTATGGTAATGTCACAAGTTCGATCACTTCAGAAAGATAACTAGGAAATCCTCTAATAAGGCAAGAACCACAAAACTCAAAGAGGGCTGGGATACATAAATATCACCTCAGAGAATACAAAAAAATCGCCAGACCAAAACAGAGAGATGCATGGAGATCTCACTGCGAAGAAATCGAAGATTTCCCGCAGGCCGCGAGGCTTCAAAAAGCTCTCTCAAAAGATCCACACCAAAGCATTGGTGCGCTAATCAAAGAGGATGGCACGAAAACTGCCAATCTCGAAGATACCATCAAACTTCTGCTGTCAACACACTTCCCTGACTCGGTCATCACAGACGTGGCCAACTGGGCAGAAGAAGAATACAATCCATCTGTCTATGATTGGCAAACTGCCAAACACATTGTAGACGATGAAAAAATAAGATGGGCAATATCCAGCTTCTCTCTATTTAAATCTCCAGGACCTCACGGTATCTATCCAGCCCTACTTTAGTGGGGCCTGGAAGAACTCACACCACCCGGTGGGTATACTCAGATCTTTATTGGCTCCGAGGTATATCCCCCAAAAATGGAGAGAGGTAAAAGTGGTATTTATACCCAAACCTGGAAGGATGGATTACACTGTCCCAAAAACATACCGACTAATTAGTCTGACATCGTTTTCCATGAAGACATTGGAAAGGTGCTTTTGATAAAACCACCTTCCCAAAGATAATACACTTACTAACCAATAGAAATGTTCCACAAATGGTTAATGGGTGGATACATAACATGCTCTTAAAGCAAGCAGTAATCATAAGTGTAGATGTGAATATAAGAGGCTTGGTTACAAGAGGATGTCTACAGGGAGGGGTGCTATCACCTCTACTGTGGAATATGGTCCTCGACACCCTCATCAGCCGCCTCAATATTGACAGTCACTACACAATAGCATATACAGATGACCTGGTCAGTCTATAAACAGGGAATTTTAAGAACATACTCTGTGAAAGAATGCAAGTATCTCTAAAAATTATAGAACAGTGGTGCAAGGAGCATTCACTGTCTATCAATCCTAAGAAGAAAGAAATGGTCCTTTTCACAAGGAAAAGGTTGAAAATGAAATTAAAATCTCCAGAACTTCTAAACACAAAACTAAACTTTGCAACAGAGGTGAAGTACCTAGGTCTCACCTTTGACATCAAGTTAACATGGAACTCGCATTTAAAAAACAGAGTTAAAAAAACATACATTGCTTATGAACAATGCCGCCGAACCGTGGGGCGCACCTGAGGTTTCTCCCCCAGAGTCGTCGCGTGGAATTACACGGCTACCATAAGACCTATGCTAATATACGTTGCAGTTGTCTGGGTACCCAAAATCCAAAAATTAACAGCTATCCGTAAACTAGAACAAATTCAAAGAACAGCATGTCTTAACATAACAGGAGCCATGAAAACAACACCGGCTAGAGCCATGGAAGTCGTTCTTAGTCTCACTAGCCTTGATATATACATCAAGGAGGTTGCTTTGACGACAATGACATGCCTCCGCACGGTCAGAATAGAACCTGATGAAGGATCTGGTGAGGCGAGACGTCACTTTTGGCAGGAGGCGCTGGATACGCTCCCACTGCTTCAAGCGAACATGGACTTTATCTCACCAAAATATATCTTTCATAAGCCCTATAAAGTTATAATGGAACAAATAGAAGAGCCAGAAGTGGCAGGTACGATTTAGTGTAGTTCAAACAGAGCTAACGGGGATTCTCATAGCAGCAAAAGAAATAACCAGAAACAATATCACTGAAAGGAATATGCTCATCTATACAGATAGCAGACAAGCACTACTCACCCTGAACAGACCACGGATTTATTCAGGGTTAGTACTAGAATATCACGAAGCTTTGGCCGAAGTATCTATCAACAACCTGGTCACCTTAAGATGGATTAAAGGTCACGCCACATCGAAAGGTAACCGTCTTGCTGATTCACTAGCCAAGAAAGCAGCCAACCAAATACTTTTTGGACCTGGCCCTTCTATTGGCCTGACAAAATCGGTAGTGACAGACCTAATCAAAGAACGTTCCCTTGTGAAATTCAAGGCAAGATGGGATGAAACAAGAAACTGCAGAGCTCTTAAGTTATCCTGACTCATTCATTGATGTTAACTGTTATTCAATGTTTTGGGTTCTGTCAAGTTAGTGATACCTCAACACGTATTAAAGCTACAGTTGCCAGACGTTTAAAATTGTATTGTGACATCCAAATATTGGCTAGTGGAGAAGGGTGTCATCCAAGTAACAGGTATCATTGCTGATAATATTGCTTATTGTAGACTAAAGGAGCTACAGGGGGCGATATTGCTGTCCATATATTGTTCAATATATTACGCATATTATTAATTTTTGTTTAACTAATAATATATTTCCACCGACCTATTACCATTATCTAAATCTTAGAGAATGTTATAGAAGTTCAACTTAGAGAACACGCTAACTCTTACTCATTGCTACCTGTAATTCAATCAGGTTTTCGTAAAGGCTACAGCTAAACAACTGTTCTACTTCATGTGGTGGATAATATTATTAGATCTCTGTATAAAGGTCTTTGTACAATTTTGATCCTAGTAGATTTTAGTAGGGTATTTGACACTCTTAACTATAAATTAATGGAATCTATTCTAAACTATTTAGGTCTTTCCCAGAATGCAGTGTCGCTTTCAAATTCGTACCTTACAAATCGGTAACAGCTAGTCAGGCATGCGCCGTACATAAGGGCAAAGTCGTGAGGTGCACGATGGCGCCGAAAAGCCTCAAAAGATAAAGCAACAAACGACATTGTCAAAACAAAATTTTTAATGATAACAAAAAACAGTAAGGAATTGCTAGCTATTACATTATTTTTTATTTATTTATTATTTTATTTTCACGCTTTGTGACGAGGAAACCGAATTTCTCGAAAATAATATATTTTGCAAATGAGAGTTTGCAATAATGGCATTTATTATGTCGAATACGTAAAAAATCTGATTTTATTCATGTTTGAGCTTGAAATTTGTCTTGCAACGAGCCTGAGCTTGCAATGTACGAAACTTTATATATTAAGCGCTGCATTAATCGCAATATCATTTATTGCCAGATGCTCGATCGATAATGAACTTAGCGAAGTGAAAAGGTGCATAGGGTAAAAGGTATCTGTTTTTAAAACTTAAGTTTTTCTGTAGTTTTACAGGCTTGTATTTTGTGTTGTGAATTATAAAATAATATTCCATAGAAAGGGAAATTTCGCTAAGTGGGTGTTTTATTTGGTCAGTCAATATTAAATCTTTTATAGAAATTTATTTTAACATCATATCGCTGAATTAACTACAAGTACTTTTGGCTGCGATTAGCGGTGAGAGTTATTAATGTCAATAAGAAATATCTAAGTAGAAATTATATTTTTACTTTTTCTTAGTTATAAGTTTAATTTTTGAAAGTCAATTTAGATTTATTTAATATGGTTTATGATTTTTTTTTGTGTTGCTGGAATCACACATTGTATTAATTAATTTTTTACTGTTGGAAACTTTTAAAAAATAGTTGTTTGAAAGTTTGATGTATATCTCATACTAGAGTCTGGTAAGAATCGAATTTATTTTTGTTTAGGAAGCGAATACATGCAGTGAAATGTTGTTAAAATAGAAAACCAAATTTTACAATTAGACCTGGAAGCAAGGTTTGGCGTTTGGGCTCGTGAGATTGTTGCCGCCCTTTTATTTATTTATTTTTTATAACTCAAAGCTTTTAATTACATGTTTAAATATATATATGGTTCTAATTATTTAAAAATGTTATTTTATAATTATTAATCTGTAATTTATGATATATTTCCATTTGAATAGTACAATATAACAAAGAAATATTATTAAACACTATTAATATATTTAATTTCAGTATTATAATCACTTTCTGTTTCATTTTTTGTTAGCTAAAACAGCATTTAGTTCATAACTTGAATGGTAAAGAGTTTTTCCTGTTTCACAACATTTTTTTGTAAAATTTAATTTGTTGTTTGCCATTTTTACCAGGTACTCTGCTTTATACTCATCATATTCTTCTTTGGAAACTTCTTTTAGAACAGGATTTACACTAAGACAAAATCCTAAAAAAAAAGAAACATTAATAAAGGTTGTTTTTATTTTAAAATGTCAGAACTTAGTTTAACTGAACCTCGTTAGACATTAAGGTTTAAACCTTGATATAATTTATTGTAATATTGTATATTAGATTTAATTAGTAAACTTTTTACCCATAGTAACACCCAGGGCCGACTAGAGGGGGGTAGCCGGGACTAATTTCCGGGGCCCGGGCTTAAATGGGGGCCCGGTAGCGCTGTAAGGGGGGCCAGACAACAGCATTTTCTGTTCTGCATGAGAAATTCGACACAAGATGAGAGTGGCTTTTTTTTTAAGAGGAAGAAGCAATTGAAAGAAGCAATTGAGGTAGGGAGAATAGCTTTTTCATGTGAGGACCTTTTTTTTTTTAGAAGGAGAAGCAATTGACATAGGGAGAATAGCTTTTTGATGTGAGGACCTTTTTTTTTTAGAAGAAGTAATTGAAGTAGGGAGAATAGTTTTTTGTTTCACGGGGCCCGATCTCGAGAATTGACCATTATAAAAGTAAATAATTAATTATATTTGAATTAATTAAATTAAAATGACAGATTTCACAGTTTGTTTTTTAAAAAAATATTAAATTTAGTATTTTATTATCTAATATTATCTAATATGACTCTGTTTGTTACCTTTAAATGATTCTTCGTTAGGGAATTTGTAAATTTTCTTTTCTCGTTGGTACTCGAATTGCTCGAAACCTGCTTGAACAAGTTGCTTTTTGTATTCATTTTCTGGATCCGGATGGTTAAAATACGGTGATATTAACCATTCATGGTTATATTTACTCCATTTGGAATGTTTTAAGAAATCAAAATATACAGGATCGGCTGAAGTTTCATCAATGAATGTTAAGAACAGCTGGCCACCAGGTTTCAATAATTTATGCATATTTTGAAATGCGTGTCTGAAATAGATAAATAATAAAATTTTCACTAGTAATACCACTAGAGGTCAAATTATTTCCTGATATTAATTTGACCTCGCGTGGTATTCGGTAAGAAAATTCCACGCCGAATTATGGTTGAAAATTAAATATTTTTAAAATTTATTTTTCGTTCCCCAACAATGCAAATTATTTTCTCCAAGTCACCAGTAAAACATAAAAGGTGTTGTCGCCTTGATTGTTGAGTTGTCATGGTAACTAAGTGAGACCCTAACCTCGAATATAATTTCAGTTTTGAAGTTGTCAAGCGGCCCGACGTAAAAAAATGTTTCGCTGCAATTATTTAGGCCTTCAAATTGCTTATTTCTACTCATTGTAGTTGCATGGGAATACCATTTGAAAATAGAAAATAGTATATTCTTTAATTTTACGTAAGTTTTGAATAACTACAAGTGGTAGAAAATTGTTTTTCTGCGTTTTTATTAACATGCGTTATGAGCGCTTTAAAATGGTATGAAATTCATAACCAGCGTCAGCAAGCATCAATCGTAGGAGGCTGTGATCATTGTATTTTGACAGTTCAAAACATTAAATAACTCGCGTTTTGTTGCGATAAAGAATATTGCACAGCAAGTAAAACCAACAAAATTACCTATTTGTTTAAAAATGAATCGATTTGAAAATCATACGCTATGCAAAATATGCGTGAAATTGTCTGATGTAATGATCAATCATTGCACCATGACTTACTTACTCGGATTAATAGAGGATTGTGGCTCCAACTTGAAAAACGAAAATTTGTTCCGAATTGTCCACGAATATTTGCACCTAAACTACGCAAAATTCAAAGTGCTGAATGGGAAAAAGGTGAATAAATTAGTGTCTAAATATTATATATATTTTATTAGACATAGACACATAATTCAAAGCATCCAAAGTCCTGCATTTTCGCCATTAAGAAGAAAAGAAGTGGCCGAAGAATATAGAAAACACCTTAGCATTGTAACTAAAATGTATCAAAACTAAACCTATTATGTGAACAAATAAAAACCAGTCTGTCAAAAATAGTCTGTTATTGTAAACGTCAAAAAATTTCCAGTATAATTCGCTGTTGGGTACCCCACGAGAAAAAAATTTCCACTAAAATACCTCCGTTGCCATGGTGATCTGTCATAAACACGTATTTTGATTGGTTCAAAATTACAGGTGTGGAATTTTCAATATAAAGGACCAGGCAGCCGGCTTATGGAGAAATGGGTTTCGGTTAATATGCCTGAATTTTTGATATGTTAAAGATATCGACTTCCTGAACAATAGTGTTAATGGGCACAACTCAATCCTATGGCCAGTTTTCAACATACAGGGTGATAAAGTTGAAAAATTGCCATGCATTTTTTAAAACGTATTAAAATGTAATTTTCTCAATATATTAAGGATTTTTTGCTGCAATAGTATTCTGATAACATCAAATAATATTTCTTTGTATAGAAAAAGTATTATTTCATACAGGGTGATTCAAAAATCACCAAAAAAATATTGATGCTGTGTATTCTACTTTACAGTGGGAATATGAAAATAATAATATTTGGTCTGAATTAACTTTAGTTGGACTTATTATAAGCAGGTATGAAAACATTTTATACAGGGTGAGTCAAAAAGTTGATTGATTCTGCAAGTTATTTTTAATACAATTTTATATATTTTGTAATACAAGTTAGTTGTCGACATTGAACCATTTTTTAAAATATATAATTTATAAATTAAATACAGGACTATTCAAAAGGTATATAAGGTAGAAAATTACGAAAATTGATTTTTTCTGCGAATCACCTTGTAATTTAATATTTCCTCCGTTAATTTCTCTAATTTTTTCTTATTGTCTTTGATTCCAGTTTTTTAGTCTCCTATAGAAGTTTTGCGAAGTTACTATGATCAGTTTTTTTATATCGACTTTATGATGACAAGCCTGTCACAATGTATATGCTTATACCTGAGCTCATAAATATGTTTTTATTTTATTTAATCATTTAGGATTTATGTCATTCTAACGTTATTTGTTAAAGAAAATATAAATAATATGTAACATATGAACAAACAATGTAATAATATTATTAGTAAGCCAAATATCCGCAGACGTAAATATTATTATGTTTTTTCATTAGACATAACCCCTTCTTATTCATAACTAAACTAGTTGATGCTTGTCGAGAAGGATATTGAAATATAACTTTAAAAAATTATCTGATACACCATGTTTAATTTTTAGGCAAAAACTTGTCAAGTATTTTCTTGTTATATTTCCATCTTGTTCAAAAAAATTGCAACAATTCTTTGAAATTATTTTTTGAATTCTTTGATATGGTTTAAATTCGTTTTCTGTAAAATTATCTACCTATAGCTTCACAGTTTAGACCGTGATTGTGATTACTATTAGCAGCTGTTCGAAGACTCTGGAGAAATTAAAGTAGATCATTTCTTACATATCGACGGTTAAGAGAACGTAACCCACCATGCAATATGTTCAAAATAGTTCCGTCTTTGTTAAGACAATGCTGTCACATTTGTACATAGTCAGGAACAACTAAGAAATAATAAATATCTACACTCAATAGAAAGCCTCCGAAAATGATAATTAGCGTTACATATCATGCAAGTATTGGATTTAGCTGGAAAAAGTACGTTAATTCTGAGACAATATCAAAGAATTCAAAAAATAATTTCAACGAATTGTTGCAAATTTTTTTGAACAAGATGGAAATATAACAAGAAAATACTTGACAAGTTTTTTCTAAAAATTAAACATGGTGTATCAGATAATTTTTTAAAGTTATATTTCAATATCCTTCTCGACAAGCATCAACTAGTTTAGTTATGAATAAGATGGGGTTATGTCTAATGAAAAACATAATAATATTTGCGTCTTCGGATATTTGGCTCACCAATAATATTTGCATCTTCGGATATCTGGCTTACTAATAATATTATTACATTGTTTGTTTATAGGTTACATATTATTTATATTTCCTTAAACAAATAACGTTAGAATAACATAAATCCTGAATGATTAAATAAAATAAAAACATATTTATGAGCTCAGGTATAAGCGTATACATTGTGACAGGCTTGTCATCACAAGGTCGATATAAAAAACTGATCATAGTAACTTCGCAAAACTTCTATAGGGGACTAACAAACTCAAATCAAAGACAATTAGAAAAAATTAGAGAAACTAACGGAGGAAATATTAAATTACAGGGTGCTTCGCAGAAAAAAAATTAATTTTCGTAAATTTCTACCTTATATACCCTCTTATATACCCTTATATACCTTCTTATAATAAGTCCAACTAAATTTAATTCAGACCATATATTAATATTTTCATATTCCCACTGTAAAGTAGAATACACAGCATCAATATTTTTTTTTGTGATTTTTGAATCACCCTGTATCAAATAATACTTTTTCTACAAAAAGCAATATTATTTGATGTTATCAGAATACTATTACAGCAAAAAATCCTTAATATATTGAGAAAATTACATTTTAATACGTTTTAAAAAATGGCCATTTTTCAACTTCATCACCCTGTATGTTGAAAATTGGCCATAGGATTGAGTTGTGCCCATGGACACTATTGTTCAGGAAGTCGATATCTTTAACATACCAAAAACTCAGGCATATTAACCGGAACCCATTTCTCCATAAGCCGCCTGCCTGGTCCTTTATAATCTTTTATTATAGAATGGCCGTGATTTTAGTGATGTTTAAATATTGTGTTAGATTCAAATTGTGTCACCGACATTACTCTAGCTATAGAACCAATTAATAAATGTATAAAGAAGAAATTGTAATAAAATAATTTCTTGATCATCTCTTTTCTTGGGAAGAATGAATGAGTTACAATAATAGGTTAATTGAATTATTTTCAAGTATTATGGGTACAGTCTGTTCGCTATACTTACGCGGGTTTCGGATTAATAAAATTATGCAAATTAGTCATTGACAACCAGTTCCAATAAGCCTCTTCCCAACAAATTAGGTAAAATTGCCCTAATGGTAAGATTTAAATTAAAATAACATTAGGGTAGGTACTAAATTTGTTACAAATATTGCAGTTGAATTTATTCTTTGCAAGTGTTGACATTGTATGTATATTGTAAATTTAGTGGAAATTTTTTAAATGCCTAGACGTGTGTTAGATGTAGATAGTCTAATTTGTAGTGTATATAAGTATTTTACGGATGAAAAAGAAAATAGCGGTCCTTTAAAATCGGTAATGTCTGTACAACAACGCGTATGCGATGCTCTAAGAATTAGTGAAACCAAATTAAGAGGAGTATTATAAAATCACAATAGTGAACTGCCGAAATAAGATCACCTCAAAACTGTCCCATCATTGAAAACGAATGATATTCCAGATGGAAAGAAATTTGAAATTCGTGATACCATTTATCGAATAAAGGCCAACAAGGAACATGTGACCTTAAATACAATTCTCTCGGAATTAATAGATAGAAAATTTGACATTGGCAGAACAAGTCTATGGCAAGTGATACATAACTTGGGTTTCAAATTTCAAAAGGAGGATAACAGAAAGGCTTTTTGTGAAAAAAGTTCTGTCGTGCACAAGAGAATTAACTTTCCAAGAAAATATTCTAAATTTAAAGAAGGAGGGGCGAATTTTATATATTTAGACGAAACATGGATATTTTCTAGGGGTGCAACCAAGAGAATATGGCAAGTCGATAACGTAAAGTCCATCAAACATACGGATAGAGAAGAGAAGCGACACATAATTTTACATGCAGGAGGGAAATTGGGTTTTATAAAAGGTGCTGATTTAATATTTTCATCTAAATCAAAATCCAGTGACTATATCGATAATATGAACACAGAAATGTTTGTAAAATGGTTGCATGAAAAACTTCTCCCAGGTTTAAATGAGCCCAGCGCAATTATTTAAGACAATGCATCTTACCATTCTAAAGTATTAAACAAAAGTCCAACGAATTCTTAGACTGTTGATAAAATTAAAGAATGGTTGACAAAGGAACATATACCATTTCCTCAATAAATATTAAAATCAGAATTATTACGCTTGGCAAATAAACACGCAAAACCAAAAACCTTTGTTGTGGATCAGATTATTGAAAGTTACGGTCATCAAGTTTTACGTCTGTCACCGTATCATTGCCAGTTTAATCCCATCGAATATATATGGGGAATAGCAAAACAATATTATAACAACCATATTGTGCCTAATGGTTATAGTGACGACGCAGTTCGGGAAACTTGGCGAAAAGCAGTTTCAATTGCAACTCCAGAAGTGTGGCGGAACTGTATATCCAAGTGCGAGAAACTAATAGAAGATTGGTGGACTCGTGAAAATAAAGTAAACGAAAGTGATAGCTCATTTGAAAGGGGGTTTTATTCTCTATTCAACCGTGCAAAAAATTTTGAAATTTGCTTCATTACGTGTTGATTTATTAATGTATAAAAATAACAGAACCTCACAAAATAGGAAAGCAACTAAACTTACAGTAACCTTCTAATGGCAAAAAGTCTTACTTCACGTTTGAACCAAAACCGAAATCATGCAGGGCCGAATTTTAATTCTAACGATGAATGCGCTACGTTAATTTCCGTTATTCTGAAACAACAATTAGTCGAGAATTAATGAAGCAAATTTCAAAATTTTTTACACGGTTGAATAGAGAATAAAACCCTCTTTCAAATGAGCTAACAGTCACCACCCCATGCCACTTAAATTTTTCGAAAGGGTTGCTCCCCTCCGGTAAGGGATGAAATTAAGGGTAAACTATTCATTCAAAAATGTACATTGTAGAAATCAAAAATCGACGTGTCTCAGCGATTTTCCTAACAAGACTCCAGTAACGAGTTAGATAGGGGGGGTAAGACTTATGGGGCTCACTGTATATCTATTATGTCTGAATTAAAAAAATATATACTTAGCAAATGTTTTTGATACACCAATCTGTACAAACAGAAATCAGTTTGGTAATGGGGTACGGCATGAGTTAGTAACACGTTTAACCTTTCTAAATTTTACGCTATTTTCTAAAAATTTATTTGGACTATTATTTTAAATGGTTTGATGTTTTTTTAAATAAATCACGTACTCCTGATGAGAATTTATAAAAATCCAAATAAAAAAATTAAATAAAATGAAAAATATTCACCTATGAGTGTAAATACCTTAAAAATAAATAATTTTGTGAATTCCCAAGAAAAATTGATTTATTAAAAAAATATCAAAAAATTTAAAAATATAATCCAAATAAGTTTTGGACAGTGGCCTAAACTTTAGAGGGGGTGAAAATCTGTGTTGTACGCCACTGGTAAAATTTATTTAACTGATTGTTTTGCTGAATATCTTATAACATTAAAAATGTTTAGTAATTTAGTAAAATTATAATGAGAAATAAAAAAAATATAGCCATTAATAACTTTAGATTTTTCAACTTTTGAAAACGGGTAGTTCTCTGCCCCATTCTTGACACTCTGTCATTTATTAATAAGACTGTACTGGCTTAGAATGGACAAGTTTGCATTTTTTATACCAAAAAAGAGCATCTATAAAATGTGGTTCTGTTTTACATAAATTTATTAGAAACAATTAACGAAAATTGGTAAAAATAAAGTGCCCATTTTCAACTCTGTCAAGAATAAAATAAGTAAGCTCATTATAAAAGAATTATATCGATTTATTTAATGATGTGTTTCCTTACCTGGTATTTTTTACCCAGTGCATTACGAAGAATCCAAATACGTGATCAAAACGATTTTCAAATTCTTCTGGAACGGTGTCAGAGGAAATATCAAATACCATAAATGTAGCTCTTGGTTCTAAAATATTAGTTTTAACATAGTCAATCATTGTTGCCGATTTATCAGATCCGATATATTCCTTAAAGTTCTTTGGCAATCTTGGTAACAGGGCCTCTTTTGTATTTCTTCCATCTCCCATTCCAAATTCAAAAATAGATTCATTTTCTTTCCATACAATTAGTTCCTTGAATTTTTCTATGTATTCAATATTGACAAGGGTAGTCAAGTCATTGTTTTTACCCCATAACTCTGGTTCGATCATTGTGAGATATAGTTTTTTAACTACTATTCTAAAAATATTATATTGCCTGTTTAAAGCACTCACCCAAAAAATAATAAAAATTCGACTATCGTCTTTTGGTATCTAACAATGTTTTTTTTTTAACCTTTGTGTTAGTAACTAGTTAGTATAAATACAATTCGTCTAATCGACGTGCTTAAAAAATAATTAAAATCTAGTAATATTAAAAGAAGGTATTTAAAACATGTTGGGTTTTATATTATATTTGGAAGCTAATTAAAACAAAAATAAAGAGATAAAAATACAGGAACAATTAAAAATGATTAAACTAGATAATTTACATTATTTATGTGAATATATTAAAGGATAATACACGTGTTCTACGGAATTGATAGTATTTATACAGGGTGTTTCCTGACGTGTACAGCATATTCCTGAGTTCATTTCAAGCTAAAAAAATGTCCTATGAACAAATATTCAATTATCCATGGTTATCGAGATACAAACGTTCAGAAATTAAGTTATTTTGAGATATTTTGAATTGATTTAAATGAATAATAATCTTTTGTATATAAGTTATCTCAATGGAAGATCGTTGTTGCCATCTATACATTATGTGCGGAATACTGTTTTGATATTTTTATTTTATGTGAGAAGAAATATAAATTTATTATCACTTTTACACAAAGTAATTAACAAAGATATTTATGATCCCTATATTCTAAATTTAATTAATATCATGACATCTAAAAATTGTAACTTTCTAGCTGATTTAAAATCCCTTATTTACTCTCTTAATAATACGACGATCAAATCAGCTAAAACTATTGCAACTTTTATATGGAACGTTTTAAAACTTAGATCATTCATAATAAAGAAACAACTTAAACAAAGATATGGTAATCAACAAGATTTTTATTTGTATTTTTATTTTATAAGATTTAAATAATCCAAATAATGTATTTTTGTTTTGCTTCTCTTTCTCTTACTTTTTTTGTTGTTGTAAAGATAACCATGTAGTACACCTATGTTACGCCGATGACCCACATGTTGAAATTTAAAATCCACTCTATATCGCTGCCTACCTAAATTACTCATTACCTGTTGTGGAGCCTAGCAGTTTCGGGTTAAAAATAATATAAAGTAATATGGTAGAGGTGGGACTTTATTTCCACTAACAAGGATGCTCGCATAATTAGGATCGAACTTCCTTTAGGTAAGTCGTTTGATCCATTAATTATGCTTCACATCCTTGTTAGTGGAAATAAAGATAACCATGTAGTTTTTTAGAATTTAGAGGATGTTCTATTCAAAATAAAACTAGAGTTTTGCTTTCTACGTAAATGTATACAATAGAATATGCAAAAAAATATTACTATAAATTTTCCACAAAATTAACAATATTAATTAATAATAACACTAATGAATTAATTATTAAACAACGTAACAAAAAATAATATTGAATTTTAACAATCCAGTTTTATAATTTTTTAATACTTTTGCGAACGTTGGTTTTACGTCTTAATTGTAGAACTTGTTAAACACTACTGATCTCTTTGTCCTACAGTTTTTCTAATGGTTTTGATATTGACGTAGATTATGAAGAGCGTCAAGGTACATACGTATGTGTACTAAGTGCTTGAGCTACTTACCCAATAGTTTGGGGAGATACTGGAAGGACTGGAGCGATAGTGGTTAGAATAAAAGATCCTGAAGACCTATGAGACTTTGTTTTTCCTTTTACCCACAAAATAAAAATACTTATAAAGGCAGAGCTCGTTGTGGAGTCGAAGTTTCAGCATTTCGTCAATGAAAATTTGATATTTTCAACTTTAGTTTTCGAGAAAGTCTATACCCGTTGAGCTGCAAGCATAACAAGTTTGATTATTAGCTGTTTTAAGTTTTTCAAGTGAAAGAAACTACTGAAGTAGGTATTTTAAAACTGTGTTTTGGTATTAAGTTTGAATATATTTTGGTATTACAGGATGACCCTTTTAGAAATTTTCTAATATACATTTTCTTTTATTATTCAGAATTTCTATAATGAAAGTTAGGGTAGAAATTATCAATTTTTTTTTTGGACTATTTATAATGAGAGCTAGGGCAGAACTCTGGTTATAAAGAGTTTTAAATGAAGGTTTGTTGCAGTGAATAACTAGGTTTAATGTTGACATGTACCGTAAAAAGTAACATGGGATGGTTTTAGTTTCCCATTTTGGTACAATCACTATGCCTTCTGCTTGTTCCTTTTAATTTTAGTACTTATGCAAGAAATGCATCAACTACGTAACAATCGAGTTCTTGTATATTTTAGATAAAACCATTTTTTTATAATGAGTTATAGAGATTGTAAAGAATTAACCGTTGTATTACAATGTTTGAGACATTCATCAGTAGATTTAGATGTAATTATGTAATTAGGAAATCATTAAGATTAAGGTTATTTCCAAAAGCCTTAGTTGATGCACTACCGATTTTAAAGTGTTTGCAAAAACATATGGAGCAAATGGTCGAACCAAATGTTAGACACTCAAATTTGTAAGTCATTTTTTTATTGGTACCCTATTTTACTTATTAAAGTACGCGTCAGCGTGTTTAAAACGAACTTTAAAAAACGCGTTTTAAAGTTACCATGGCAACATCAACAAGCCGAGAAACGTGATGTTTAAATATTGATCTGACAGGAGTGCCTTGTAATGTCAAATAAAATATTTCTGAGAAATTTTTCAAAAAATTTATTAAAATATTTTTTTACATTCTTAATTGTTTAAATGAATGTGGAAAGTACAGTTAGTATTGTTTGAAATATTAAAACTTCGTTTTTTTAAATCAGAGGAAATACTGTTCAAATTAAGATTGCTAACATTCTTGGAAGTCAATGAAGTTGTACTTCAATTAATAGCACTTCCAATAATATTTTAAACATTTTTTTTATTGCTAATGCTCTCTTCAACGTAACCAGTTGCCACAGCTGCCCATTTCCATCCTACTTGTCGTTGGATTTGATTTATTGTCATGCCATTATTCGTCATAATGGTAGCGGACGTACGCCGAAATGCATGTCCAGTATATTTCTCAGGATCGTCCAATTTAAGATAACGTGCAATTTGTTGAGGACATGATTCAAATATATTAATACCAACCACTTGATTGGTGGACTTCCCCTTATCATACCGTAAGAAAACTCGGTCTGTACTTACATTTTGGGGGCGCAATGATAAATACTGCTTCACTAAACGCACATATCTAATTGCATCACTATTGGCAACAGTAAAACGTCGAGACTTCACTGTCTTAGATGGTCCCTGATATCAGCTAAGCCTAAAACGCACAATTCACATCTTCTACAAGAGCCAAAGATGCCACAAATAGCAACCACTTTCAAAAATAAATACGTAATGTCCGGTGCATCTGTAAAAAACTTCCGCAAATCGTCTTCCTCGAATACATATGCCTTCCTGACTACCTCATTTTTGCTAATTGCCTTCATGAATGCATGCACTTTGACGAACGATTTTATATTGACCTTTGTTTATCCTCAACATACTTTGTAATTTTGAATGGATAGTCCACATAGTCGATACTTTATACTGTTCCGACATTTTCTGGAGATAAGCGAGAACAACTCGTTCATCTATATGTGTAACCATTTGCTCTTCCATCCACGTGTTGAATTTATCGTATTCTTTTTTATAAACCGCTTCGGATTTTTGTTGTATTTAGCGCGATTCTGCTTTATTATTTAAATACTCAATATTTAAACTCATTTTAAACAAAAACAACTGTTGCGACAATTAGTCTTACGTGACAGATTGAAAATAAATTTTTGATTGTCTCATTTTCATGACAACGAGGTATACTGATGTTACATCACAAATTCAACCATTTTCAGTTATTAGTTCTTATTTCCATTTTTCTGTAGAAATAATACCAATATTTAGGATTTCAAAGTATACCAATAAAAAAAAATAGCGTAAAGTATTCGTGGATAACTAGTCTTTAAAACACTTGCTCTATTTTGAGCACTCCGGCTGCGCCGTCGTGCTCGAAAAATCGCGCGTGTTTTACAGACACTTATACTTTAATATACTATTTTTTCAAGTACTTTCCTGATTTTTTATGTATCGTGATGAGATGAGAGGCATTCTTTAATTTAATTTTTGACATAAAATTGTCCTGTATCAAAATATTCTGGGCAGACCTGAGATCTTCCAGTTTGAAATGCGAGGATCTATATATTTGTTAAAGACGAATCTAGTTGAATCTTTTTATTCGGGTCTTAAAAAATATGAGAACCATACTAATTTTCTTTAGCAAACAAACACCTGTTGCATTCTTTAGTACAAGTTAATCTTTTTTTTATTTTTTAATTGAAGTGTGTAGGTTAGTTTTTTCTAAGAGAAAACGTCCTTTTGTGAAAGCTCTTTGGTGTTTTAAACATGTCTTTGGACCTTCTTATCATTAGATAAGTTAGCCCACGTTTTACAAATTTATTTAGTCTACCAGCAATCTCTCTTACCTTTATTTCCTTCCCTAATAACTCCTTCTCCCCTCTCTGTTTTTCTGAATACTTGTTGGTTCATCCTTTGGGTTTTATATTTTTCCTGCTCTTTCTCTGGCCTGGTTCTTCAGTCGCCATTTAAAAGTAGGCGCCTGAAGTTTAAACACAGATTAAAATTGTTGTTTGCTTTAAGTTGGTGCCTTAAAATTAAATGTATGCCAGTTTTTCAAATGCTTTCCATATTTCTACAGGATTCTTTCCAAAATGAAAAACCATCGATATCTGCTTTTTCTATCATATTTGTGTTTAAAGACGGATATATAAGCTGCCTACGATGCATATATTCTATGGTAGACATCTGGTAATACTTTTGTTACATTTGCATTTGTTTTAATGCATATATTTCTGTTCACTCCAAGCCTAGCTTAGAGAGGTTTAGCTAAACTTTCCATCACCTTTCAAGCATATATAAATAGCTGTCGGTTTTATTTGATGACGTGACTAGTCACCAAACTTGTTGGTTCGGGTTTTAAGGTGGAGGACTGAAGTGAAAGTATTCTAGATTTTGATTTCGCAAAGAAACTTTGCCATTCTGGCAATTTTTGCGTAGTTTACCAAAATCAATAGATAATATTTGTAAAATTGAAGTATCTGTGGAAAGAACATCGTAGTTATATACTCACTGCTCCAAATTTTGGAACCGTTT